GAAGATCTCTTTTGGGCCCTTAGAGGAGGTGGGGGTACTAGCTTTGGTATTGTGGTTGCATTTAAGTTGAAACTAGTTGAGGTTCCTGAAATTGTGACTGTTTTCAATGTCACAAGAACATTAGAAGAAAACGCAACCGACCTAGTACATAGGTGGCAATATATTGCTGCTAAAGTTGATGACGATCTTATGTTAAGGCTCTTCTTAACGAGCTTTAACTCTTCAATAACTGGAAAGAGGACAGTAGGAGCAAATTTTAGATCTCTGTACCTAGGTCGAGCTGATGATCTCCTCCCAATAATGCAAGAGGTATTTCCAGAATTGGGTGTGGTGAAAGAAGATTGTATTGAAATGAGTTGGATAGAATCCACACTGCATTTCTACAACCTGCAGGGATCACTTGATGTTTTGCTAGATGAAACAGTAATTTCAAGTGCGTATACCAAAGGGAAATCCGATTATGTGAGGCAACCAATTCCGAAAGACGGTCTCGAAGGCATATGGGAATTTCTTATGGAAGAAGATGCAGGTAGGGGTGAATTGCAGTTCAGTCCATATGGAGGGAGAATTGGTGCCATTCCAGAATCAGAAATTCCTTTCCCACATCGGTCAGGCAACATATTCATGATCGAATATTCAGTGTTCTGGTCTGCAGAAGAGAATACAGAATCAGAAGCAGAAAGGCATTTAAGCTGGATGCGAAGGCTTCACAGCTTTATGGCTCGTTATGTCTCAAAATCTCCAAGAGCTGCATATGTCAATTACCGGGATTTGGATAATGGAATGAACAATATTTATGGGAGCACCAGTTACGAACAAGCAAGTGTATGGGGACTTAGGTATTTCAAGAATAATTTCAGAAGATTGGTTCTTGTGAAGAGTAAGGTGGATCCAACTAATTTCTCCAGGAATGAACAAAGTATTCCACCTGTATCGCCATGGTAGAAGAACTATATATATTGGCTTGTCATTATTTATTTACCGAATAAAAGAAATGTATCGT